TTGTTGGCATACAACGCATCCTTTGCACTTACGCTTATCACAATAGAGAACTATTCGAATTTCCAACCTAACAGCTCAATTTGTTAGACTAATAATAGAGCGCAGCTAATGAACCAATGTAAGTTCGATATTGGAAATGGTGGGAAGCATCGACGGCTCATTGTTCCCGGCTCAAAATCGCAAATTTAAGGGAAGTGAAATACCGAGTCGTTGATTCGATTACCAATTCCGAGACGTTTTTCGTAACGATGATGCTTTCAGAGTACAACGACGTGTGCTGTTTCAACCAACAATCGACCGGCCGACTACGTTGCTGGCCGCGTGTTGACAACGTTGGACGACGTTACGCTCAAGCAGCCTTAAACGCAATCTGTCCTGCGTTGTCGGCGCTTGGCCAGCAACGCGGTCGGTCGTCGTGTGAAACACCGATCCGCGGTCGTTTATCCACCTTCGATCTTTAATGGACCGGGTTCGCCACCACAGCGAAAGATCAAATTTCAAAAGTAGTCACAACTTCGAAGATCTCCTTGCTCGCTCTCAGTTCGAGGTATCCGGCATCCAAGGCCGCGCCTGCTGATTCCCATATCAGATTGAAAGCTACTGACTGATACAGCTCATTCGATTAACGCATATCGGTGCTTGGTGTCCAATCGATCACATGCCATCTGGTGGAATTTCATAGGTGAGTTAGGAGAGATAGGAACTGGATGGACTCTAATCCTAGCATGACCCGGAATAACCCACGATGGAGAATTGCTGCTACAGTTGTGAGACACACTGCCAATGTGCTGACGTGCATCGCAAGCAAGGTATCCCCAGAGAAGCCTCCGTTTACATTGGATCGATACCGATAAGTTAACGTTGACGCAGGCCAGGTAGAGCTTTGCCACACTCACGTCTACAAATAGGTAAGCCAAACATTAGAGGCAGCTCATGTAGGCTTCGAAAAGACCTTTGAGCACTATTCTGATCACGTCACACCCTTTCATTGATGCGATCTTGAAACTCGCGAAGTACATGCTTAATCGATAACCAATCGCTCCCTAAGCAATCAAAGTGATTGCGATAACGGCTCTATGAACAAAGAAACGAAGCCGTGCAAACTAGCGCTTGAGTGCCTGCCTTTAGTCTTGATATTACTCAACGAGCTCGTGCCAACAATCGCCGCACACTGGGCCTGCGTGGCCGGCCACTGATCGGTTCCTCACGCATCATGTTGTGAAGGCCAGTCCTGTTCATGACCAAAAGTTGATAGTTCGACTCTAAGTTGATACCTCCGCTGTAATAGGTCCACACCGAGTTGCAGTTGTAAACTTGCCATCAGGCTTACCTCGTATCCACCATTTAAACCTAACTCATTTTGAAACCAAAAAGAATCTGCCAGGATTACTCGATGCAAACCTGAAGCCAGCCCTGTAACCACAAACAGGAATTTTGAAACAACCACTACAGAAATTTTTAGAAAAATGGTCTGCACTTTAGTGAGCAAGCACCCATCGAATAGAAGCGACAAGATCTGAAGCGAGAACGATCTCCATATTAGTAGCAGAAGAATAAATGACAAAAAAAATCTTCAAAAACAAAAACATGTCGCGAAGTAGCCACGTTTGACTTGTAGACATAAATCCACCGCAGAATAGCAAGGACATAACGATTACTTCTGAAAAAAATGATAAAAATGGAAGTAGCACTGAAAGTGCTCTCAGAATTTGCATTATTTGCTCTTTGTCATACCTAGCTTTATTACAAATATCCCAAGTGATGTCCATGCTCCCTGATTATCTCATAATCTCCCTGCAGGGCTACTCAATCCCACTGATGGCGAGGCTTTGCTTAGCAACGCGATCACAACGTTGCATGCTGTAGCATGCACAGCGTTGCGTGCTGCACAGCCGACGGGAATTAACTCAGGTCTCTTATCTGATAGGCATAGAACAGAAAGAAAGACATCGCAGTTGTGACCACAAAGCCCAATTCACAACAGCCTTCGAGTCTGATATCTGTAAGAGGAGAACATAGTTTTCTGATAAAATCCGCAAACTGCCTTCCAACAACAGAAATGAAAGCAGTTTGACAATTTCTAGCTTCATGCCGTCCATTCCGCTATGTGAGCTGTGAGAAAATAGCGCATTGCACGCACATTTCTCTCGTTATCACCATGGCATTGCAACATCGAAACCCTTCACTTACCTACTCTGACACTTCAGTGCACGACGCGGTGAGAGCGAATCGGAGATCGGGAGCGCTTTGCAGTTGGAAGTGAGATAGTAACTTTATATAACATGCAAATAAACAAGAGATAATCTTTAAATAAGATTAGTAGAGTAAATACTGTCAGCAAACGGAAAAATAGCTCCTTTGAAGAAGGCATGCTCGTGTACTCAAAAGAATTCCACCGTGAAAATTTTTCGCGATTTGAACTACATAGTTATCACAACCGAAATTTACTCATGTGGCCGAATCGACAAGTAGAAGTAGAAAATTACTAACGAATTAGTACTTGTTAGGAATCCCTATGAAACCCTCTCCGAAGTGAACTATGGAACTAGCGTAACATATCATTGATGGACTGGGAACAGTTCTTTTATGGAGGCACAGTCCTATGTGCAAAAACCAAGAACAATCAGAGGGAAAGAGATAGGGACACGTTATCGTCGGCGTGATGCGTGGAGGAATGACTTCCCCTACAGACCGTTGCTGTGGTTTGCCGCAAATAGAAGGATGTCGGGTGTGAAGAGAACCTTGAAGTCATGTTATAACCACAAATGTGTTTGAACAATTAGCGATCCAATATAGGCTCTTACATTCACGTATTGCACCAAGAAGACACCGCGTAACTGGATTAGGGGATTTCTTAACGTTTCCTAAGGAAAACGGCCACAAAAACGAAGAAAAAAAAACTGTTTCGGAAGCCATACTTAATGGTGTTCGTTTTTCTTACGAAATCCCATTCCCGAAGTGAACGAGGAAACCCTAAAATATATCATCATCGGTACTGTTATTAGGCAATTATTCTGATTTTGCCGGGCACCCTGATTTGACCTTGGTCAGAGAACCGTGAAATCGTGAGGGCACGGGGTCGCGGAATCTGCATTAACCACTGCACACGTATTAGACTGCTCAATAATATTTTTACGACAGTGGGGGCTGACAGAGGCGAGAGTCTATAACAAGGATAAGAAATGCAGAATGCATGTGTGCCTTTACAACGACTTCGATGGCCAACCGATGTACGAGTCAGAGCCTTCATATCCCCCCAGACGAGTTCGGTACCAATTAACCAATCCCTGAGGGATGGAAGGCTTGGTTGGCCTAAGTGGATATCAACCTGGATTCGATCCCGTGACCACTCTGTGATAGTGCGCCACTTGCCACCATTCCACCTCCACCCTAGAGGTGAGAGTAAGTTGGATAACTCGAAACTACACAAAATACTACACTTGAAGTATAATAAGGTTTGATTGACGATCGGAACAGCCATTGTATTTAACGACCTCACGAAGAACTCAACGAGCTCAAGTTACCGGCTATTCTCCGCATAACTTCCACAACTAGAGGTACACAGTTATTTAGTCCATGTTGCTGAATGCACATAGTTGACAATTGTGACAAAGCGAGTTTGCAAACCGGTAACAAGCTACTAAAGTTCACTCGTCCAAACGTCCTCCTGTGCAAAAAAACTCCACATTCGAGTTATTAACGCTATGGTCGCTCGAGGAGGAGCTCATGACCACCAGAAGTTAGAAGGCATTCAAGAGAGTCTGGCTCAAGATATTCCTGAACGAAAAACCGATGCCTGGACGTTGCATGGAGGGAAGAATGAGCTGAAAACCGAAGAGCATGCAAGCTCGATCACTCTCGTTCCTGCTAGAATTCCGACAACTAGCACGGAGGGCGGGGCGAGGGCACCACGCACTTTGCACTTCCCAACACAGGGCATTTGTCATTCGAACAAGAACAACAACAGCATTTGCTAATTACTTGCCTTAGCGAAGTTGGATAATAAAAAGCCTCACTAGAGGATAACCATGAAAAGAGTATGGTCCCAGTCTTGGGAAGAAAAGTCATGGGAAATGGCAACGACACTTCCTGGCTGGATCCAGTTTCATGAACAGAGACGCATGATCCAGGAGCAGTTGTCCGAAATTCTCTTACCGCGCATCGTTATTCGATTACTGTGGATGTGTGTGGACCTGCACATCTAACGTTTTGGCAACATTCCAAATCTGGTCTTCAATTCACATTTTGATTTAATGCGTTGAGAACTTTGCGCTTACTTTATTTTGTCGGCGAGATTTTGGCATCCCTAGTCTATCATCGCTTGAAACCATGGTTTTCGAGATTGTTCCCGGAAGATTCATGAGCAAGCTGCGCAATTTTGCAAGTGATCATTGCAACCATCATATCGCCCCCTCTTTATCACCAGGCGTTAGAGCGCGTAGGAGGGATAGGCGATAATGGTGCTTGGAAGCGTTTTTTTTACCAAGGAATATAGTTTTCTACCTCAGGACGCGAGGAGCGCCGGTGTGTAAGAGATGATTACGTGGTGCAAGAGCCGGAATGGGAAGATTTGACCATCCAGTGGTTTGCTGATCCGTTTCTTTTCAAAAACACAAACGGTTGCATGCTCACATACTATTCCTCATTGGGAAGCATCGTTACAGCCTCCGGAGCTGGTTATTTCTCGTTCCTCTTTGCACTCTTGCGTCTAGTGCTGAAGTAGACGGGCGCCTCCCTCCCCCAACAAAGTTCTCTTCGTAATTTTCGAGAGGATGAGTATCATTTCCTGAGGCCAGTTGAATTGAAGTAATATTTTCAGCGCAGAAGAGCGTACTTGAATAATATAAAGATTGGGTCGGCCTGAAGGTCGTTCAACAAGATGGCTGATGAAGAGCTTAAAAAGGTATCCATTACATTCACGATGCTGTTCAGTCTTCTGTTCAATATTCGTTTCAGGCCTTCCAAGATCTTCAGTTCAAAACGAATGAGACTAAAGGTTTAATAGCACAGGGAGAAATAACGAAGAAATTAAATGCTCAGGTATCTGGTTTTAGTGTTGGACCTTTCTTGTCATGCTTTTCTAATGTAATGCAGTGTCGAGACTTACATTACTTGAAACATGTACATGTCCATAATGAGTAATCTCTTTTTGGAACTTTCAAAAGGGAGCCATGGCTTCTTAGAATTGTTTTATGGAGTTTTGGTGGAGATGGGGTTAAGAGCGAGTGAAGCCGTTAGCAGGAAGCATAGTTCAAATCTCAAAAATTAAAATCGCTTGTGACTTGGTGGTGGTCTTTAGGGCTTTGACGTTAAATGCGCAATTTTGGCCTACAAAAACAGCGTTGGTGTTGAAAAGTATCGTGGACAACGCACCGAATTCTAAGCATGAATAATAAGAATGAGTGCAAGAATGAGTTAACACAACTGGTGACCTCTCGCCTTACATCCCACTGTGTGAACTTTGATAGTGGGGACTGATACATGCGTCGTCATAGCTATTTTGAGTTGTGATTGACCGGCCAGACCACTAGTTCTTTTGTCTAGGCCACCAACACCGAACGGTTGCTCCGGAGATGAGCGACCGTTCGTTGTTGGTGGTTTCGACGTGACTTGTTAGAATTCCTCTTTGGTAGGAGTTGCAGTTGCAACTAGTTAAGGGTTGGTCTGCGACAAGTGTTGTCGGTAACACCCCAAACTTTCGGAACGCTTGACGGCTTTTGGGGGCGACGACTTCGAAATATCAAGCCCTATTAATGTCCCATCATTCAAAACCTATTCGGCACAGAAGCAATGAGTACTTGTAGAACCTTGTAGAAATGCCCAGGTTTCAAGAAGAACGAGAAAAGGATAAAGGATAAAGTTTTTGGCGTTAATCAATCCCGTCTGAGGGATGCGCCCCCGCACTCGACTTCCATTCAGAATCGTAGTGGCGTAATGAGTGCGTATGTGGCCTCTACAATGACTTGCGGTGGCCAGCCGGTGTACAAGTCAGTGCTTTTACCCTCCCAGACGAGTCTGGTACCAATTTACCGACCACGGAGGGATGGAAGGCTTATTCGGCCTAGGCGGGCATCGATCCGAAGAACGATAGTGAAGGTTAATTCGAAATTGAAACATTCTCGGAATCAGCATTGTGAACAGAATGCGTCATTTATTGTTAGTTGTAACACCGGTTGATGTGGTGGTCTTTACCGATGTCCATCACGCCGA